CCCCAAAACCCCAAAACCCCAAAACCCCAAAACCCCTAAAGGAGGAGAGGCACTTGAACTTATAATATATAAATTAGGTTTGGGTGACATGATAGGTGAGAAAGAAGATTGGTATATTCCGGTGGAGGAAACTTGTATTACTCCGGATATGGTTCCTCGTATCAATGAAGCAGGTAAGAAAGTATTAGGACAAGCTAGTTTAATACTTATTTCATAGATTACAAGTACTACTACGTTGACAAGAATTTGAGCAGGCCATTAATCATGGAGTATTACACTCCTTCAAATGACGTCATGATAGTTCCGTTTAGCAAAAATGATGTTGAGAGGATGATATACCCTCTTGATGGACCATATGGAGAGGAAGAAGAGACTGCTTATGAAAAGTTTCAAGTATATCTTAAAGAAATAAAAGAAACTTTTCCAGAAAGCTTAACTAAAAGAAGAATAATGAGATTTTTGAACTCAAATAGTTTTAAACTTAAGGAGACTTACAATAACATAAAGGAGCATTTGGACTGGAGGAAAGTTATGCTTCCTATTATCCTCACTCAAGAAAACATTGCATTAATAGAAAGAGGATTTATATATGTTCATGGAAGAGATAGACACTTCAGACCATTTCTTTTCGTTAATGCAGATATTATTGCTATTGAAGGGATAGATCCAGAAAATGTTTTCCAGACGTCCTGGTTCGTCACTATTTACATTGTTCAGAATCTTCTAAAGCGAGGATCTGTTGAAAACTGCATTGATGTGGTAAACCTTGGTGGCCTTCCCATCGATAAAATACCTCGAGAAGCATTGAAAAAGTTCATAGTTGAAATACAAGTCCATCTTAAAGGAAGAATAGCAAAGATGTTGTTCCTTCATGTAACTTTTGGTTTAAGAATGATTTATTTCTTTATTTCTCCATTCCTTGAAGCAAAGGTGAAAAATAAGATAATTATGAAGGGTGATGGATCTTCCAAAGAAATTCTAGAATTAGCACATCCTTCACAGATAGAGAAGAAATACGGAGGAACTGCTGAAAATCTCACTCAGTTTTGGCCTCCAAGGGCTATTTCCGATGAATATGACCCCTACCCTAAGTGAATCAACTTCGAAGAGTTCAAGAAGGCCAAGGAGGCTCAGAAGAGTTTAGCCTCAGAAAAGCAGGCACTCCTCAAGGAAAACTCTGAAGAGAATAAAGAGGTAAGTTTTGGTGAGCATCGGCTTAATCAGGGTTTTAAACCAATCAAAATTAAAACCAAAGCTGTAAATTTGAGATTTATGTGGGAGAAATTGGCCTTAAGCGATTTTTGAGGGGGAATTTTGGCCTCTTGGCATGCCACATGGTATATTGGGGTGGGATTGAGGTGAAGAGTTGGGCCTTGGTTAATTGGAATTTAGAGAAGCTTTGAAGTCATTAAGATCCCCCAGAGAAGTCTTGCAGCGAAGAATTATGAGGTTAATACAGAGGAAAATATAGACACTATGAAGCAAGGAAAGAAGGAATTTATGTGGCCTGTGAGAGCAGGGACAGAGGGAGAAGTTAAGAAAAGGTCTGATTGCTGCTGTTGTATATTTTAATATTTGTTTGAAAATTAAAATTAGGAAACTTTCATTGGTAGATTGATTAACTTAAAGATTAACCATATTTCAATTTGACCTCACCAGACAGGGGTTTTGGGGTTTTGGGGTTTTGGGGTTTTGGGGTTTTGGGG